ACAAAGAATAATATGCATAAATGCCCAGAAGTATGTGCTGGATTATAAACTGAAAAGGCATGCCAGTTCCATTTCTCCCTGTCAAACTCTAAACTTCAGACAGTTCAGCAATCCTTTCCATTAGGGAAGGTGCAATTAAGAGAAAAATTCCTACTGTTGCAGGTGAAAATCATTACCCATAGGTACCTCAATGATTCCTGTATTCAGAAGTCACTCTTCTGCAAGCAAGCTCTATACTTGTCTTGATAATAAAAAAGAAAAATTGAGCCCATGCCCTCATTATATATGGGAGAGGCTTCCTAGCACACATTTCACTAAATCTATTAATATAAACGGGGCAAGAATGGACTGTCTCAGGCTATATCTAGTTCTAGATGCACAATACTGCATATATATTCTATCCCCACATCCAAATAAGTGCTTTTGATTATTTATTGTGATGTGATTTATAATGCATAGCACCTGCTACCTCAGGCATTAATTTATCACTATCAACTACTCTTCAAAGACAGAAAAATGTTGATTCCTTTTTGCCACTGTTCTGTGAATCTAGACTGTCTGAATACTTAGGGAAGAATGGTAAAAAACCTTTGTATGCACTGCTGCAGAAGGCATCAGTGATTAGCTGTTACACAGGGCACACACAGGCATCTCATTTGCTCATCTGCTTTATTTTTTAAAATTTTTTTAAATAATTGGGGCTGCTATAAGAACAAGCTTGTATAAGGATTCAAGTTAGTATAGCAAGACAATTCAGCAATTACTTTCCAACTTAATCTACCACATAGAAGTAAATAAAAAATCAGGAGGAGGTAGTGCTGAAGACTGATTAGTAGAAAGACAAGTGAATCAGGAAGGAAACAGAGTTCAGCTTCTGAAATTCAGCCTTGGTGTGCAAGATTGCTGTGAAAAGAAATCCTCCTCACATTTTTTCACTTCAGCAGGGAGGAGGACAAATCAAGCAGACATCCAACTGCTGCTTGGTGGCTTCAAAGGATCATAAACTGAGAAAACATGTTTAATTGCATTTCTTATATAAATAACTCTTGAATCCACACACTAGAATATTGCTTCTTCTGAAGCAAAAAAACCAGTCTGGCAACATTAGTTATCTCCAACTTTCTTCAAAAGCCTGCTACTTTTCCAAAAAGCTGATGTGTGGGTGGAATATTATGCTCCTGTTTGAAACTCTACTGTATTATACTTTTTTTTCTGCCTGACGCTGGAAAGATTATTTTTACTTATTTTTTTCTCCATAATTAACTGTACTAAGGATGCCATTTTATGGACCTGAAGATGATCTTAAAGTAAACTTATTAGTAGGAATGGTTTTTGTGCTGACCTTTCAATTATTGTTAGGAGTATCCTGGCCACTGAATTTGCAGCCCTAGCTTGGGTACATCTATCAGAGCAATTACTTACCATTAAGCTGCAGTGATCAGAGACATATTATATTCAGGGAGATATTCCTTGGGTCCAGTCTAAATATGCTTGAGTAATGGGCACAAAGAGAACTGGTTTCTGGGAAAAAATATATATAGCTTCTCAGATCCCTTTCCCTCAGTTAATTCTCTCAGTGTGACTTTAGAGATCAGAATATCTTGTTATGCCTTGTTACATTTCAACTCAGGACGGTTCAAAAACAAAGTACCTACAAGCAAGCAAACAGAATGTGATTTTGTTCAAAGCTATCTCTTCTAGTAGTAATAAGATACACTTGCTTTCAAACTTAAGTAAAAAACATAAGTCTAATAAACAAAGATATTCCTAACCATGGTCAGAAGATGGTATTCAAGGGTTTCATCAGCCCAAAGACAAGATGGATAGCAGTGGTTTTGACACAACACACTACAAGAGTCAGTATCACACATAAAGCTGATCACTTTTGGAGACCTACACACAAGCAAGAGCCCATCTCAGTGCTCTTCAGGGATGTGTAATAGCCAGGATCTCAATGCTGCACAACACTATTACTCTTACAATAATTTCTGTGAGTTTAAAAATCATTCAGAGGAACACAAGGGGTCACTGCTCTGCCACTGGAGTCCCTTTAATCATTTGGAAAGTGGAAAATTACCAAATTGTTTCATAGATCAAAATTTCCAGCTTTCTCTACTACATTTAAATACATTATCCTGCATATAAATGATTTTATCAGATCATCAATCTCCAAAGCTATATAAGTTTTAGGTGAAAAATTCAGTATATAATTAAAGGATTCAGTGTAACAGCTCTGAATTATGAGCTCTACTTATAGCTCCTTTTAAATCTGGTCTGGTAAGTTAAATCATGTATTTTAGACATTGATGCTGACCGTGAATAGAAGTCCTTCAAAATTTGTTGCCTTCGGCATACCTTCACCTTCCAGGTAAATTTATCTGCTACAAGAAACCTTTCCCTATTATATATATAAAATTCAGCTATATAACATTAGAAAGAGATGCAAGCCAGTCATGCTCAGGAGAATGGGAAAATAACTGTGAGATCCCACTTTCAGACCTTTTATCAGCTGCTGAAAGTCACAGATATGAAGAAACAGAGCACAACTGTGCAGCTTGGGTAATGTTAGCCTACTTTATTTAGCTATGCCAAGCTTTTGAAAATACAACTGTCCTGTGCCCAGGGAACAATCTTTCTCACAGATTTGCTAAATCTAGGCTCTGTAGATGAGGTCTGAAAAATTTATCAATAGGAAACCTTTTATAAACAGCAAGGGTGATTACAAGTCTACAGTAGACAAGCCTGTAAAAAAAAAAAAAGAGAAATTATTTTTCATCATATTTGATAGCCTTTTCTGGTAGGAAAACTGTCTCAACATAAAGAGATGCAATACTCTTGTTGACTTTCTCAAGTTTTTTTCAAAAAAACCTTTAAACCCTTAAATTAGTAGGTTGTGACTACAAGAAATTTTCTTTATTTCATGCCAGTGATGATAGTTGATCACTTTTGGAGACCTACACACAAGCAAGGCAAGGCAGACTGTAGCCAGTCTGAAGCTCTGTGTTCTGACTGATCAGCTCACAGGAATTGTGAGGTCCCTGCCTTTCTTTTAAGGTCAAGTGGTCATCACATCTCTTGCTTCCCCTCAAATTCTCTCCCAAAAAATGGTTGAAAAATTATATTCTTTGGATGAATATTAATTTACCTCTTGACAGAGGTGTCTGGCATATCTAAAATAGCATACTCTTCTGCAGGAAACCAGAAAACTGAGATCACATACACCATGTTTCCTTAGGGAACAGGGAGCTGCAGGAAATAGCAAGAGGTACAGTTAGCTTTTTCAAATATCATCTCTTGTAGACAGTTTTCTGCAAGAAAGGTAAAGTAGAAGAAATTTAGATACTCATAGTATCTAAATGCCACAAAAGCAGAAGAATACCTAGGAAATTCTGGACTCCATCTGAGACGGAAAGACAATACAAAGAGGTTCCCAAAGTGTGGCCAACTTGACAGAAATCTATCATTTCCAAAAGCCAAAACAAGTCCACAAATGACAGCAGGGAATGCAACTGGCTTCCTCTCTTCCCCTTTCCCACAGAGACTGCCAAGGTTACTCAGGGGGATGATAACAGGATAACAACAGGATGGGGATGTTTGAGCAAGGCCATGACAAGGGCTGGTGTGAACAACTGGGGTGGGCTGGCTCAAAAGGCAGATGTTTAGGGCAGGGATGCCTCTCACCAGACCAAGGGTCTCAATGCCCCATCTCACCTGGCCTTGAAAAATCTGCATAAGATCAAAATGACAAGGCTAATGCTTACATTGTTAGTATACTGCATTAATATTTAACAGATTGGAAAACCCTTTTATTTTGCATTTTAACAGAAACCTAACATTTAGATCATAAAAACTTGAAATTAGCTGTGATTCAACTTTCTGGAGTGTCAACAATACTGTATATAAACCACAAGGGACCAATATTAAAAACTACACCATACTCAATGTGTATCTTTTAAATGCATTACCTTTGCCATTATTAGATGACCACCTTGTGTTAAATTGGGATCCCAAGGAAGATCAGTAGATTAAACTACAGCAACAAAGGCTGAAAACTAAGAGCACAATCAATGTTCTTGTGGAGATAAGAAAGCCAGTAACTTTCTACAGGTTTTTTTGTTATTGATTTTTGTAGTATTTTTAAATGGTAGTGGATGGAGAAGCACATGAGGACTGAGAATATTCTTCCTAAATAACAGGATTTTGTCTCCAGCCAAAGGTATATGCAAGCTTTTGCACTGCTGGTGAATTTGACAGAAACCCAAAACTACTGATGAAGAAATACTTATTTCAAAATGTAATTGATTGTGAGGAAATTCTTTTATCTGTGATTACTGTTATTTAAAAATTACCTAGAGTTGGTTTCCTGCCAAGAGAGTGCACAGTGCTTGCTCTCTCTTCTAGACGTACTTGATGCCAAATCTGGTGTAGACTCCTTTCATAGAAAAGCTTGTTAGAAATGTTAAGTCAAATTGCTAGAAAAATATTTGCAGTTAGAATTCAATTTCAAAGACCAGTTCATAGACTTCTGGTAAAAAACAACAACAATAACAACAACACCTACTTCGCCCCCCGCAAAAGACAAAACCAAACCAAATAAAAAAACCCCAGCCAACAAACCAAAAATCACCAAAGCAAAACCAATCAACCAACCAAATAAGGCAAAAAATGAGAAATAAAAACTCTCTGAAGTTTTATACTGATGTTAGTATTAGTCAAAGACTGAAATACAGCAGATCTTTAAGCTTTAACTGCATTTTCAAATTTTTAAATAGAGATTTTCAGTAATTACAGTAAAAATCAGCAATGGAACACTAATTTCAATTTTTAGAAGTATCCTATTTCCAATTTGTGTAAGAACTTCTAAACACTGAACTGTGGCAGACAAAAAATATATTCATACTCAAAAAAGAAATGCAGGTACTGTGAAGATTGTATTGCAAATTAAAACAAAATACAGCAGAAGCAATAAAATAAAATATTTTATGTTACAGATTACTATTGCCAACCATTTTAAGAAATGCTTTTATTTACATTTGCAAAGATATTAATCATTCAAAGTTGCACTATACAAAGCAGGAAAAATACTAAATGCTACTTAAATACAGGAAAAGATCAAACAAACTCTAAGAAAATTCTGAAATCAAACCAACAAAATTTATTATTCAATAAATCTAGTTATGTTAAATAAAAATCTGGTTTTAATCACTAAAACTGCAGGTTTATCAAAAGATAATCTGCTAAGATACCTGTCTGCTACTTATCAGCCATAAAATAAATTAAAGAATTTATAAAACTCTCTGAAGAGTCAAAAGTAAGTAAGATTCATCCCTGTAAGGAAAGACTGGTATTTCTGATATGCTTACTCTAAGGATTTAATTGCTTACATTGCATGAGTCATTTACAACAGCAGCATTATTTCACTTTAGAAAATATTGAAGAAAGCCATCTAGCATATTACAAAGTTTTTAATTTTCCTTTTTACAAATGAGCGAAATGTGAGAATTCACAGGATAGCCAGCAAATTGCACAGTACTGAGATGCTGCTTAATGTATTTATACAAATCAGTAAAAAAAACCTTCCAAATTTCAAGTAACATAGGCAGCTGGTATCAATTATACAGAACAATAATTAGATTGAAAGCTAGTGCTAGTGACTTGTGCTTAGACTGGAGTCAAGAGAGTTACTTGTCAAGAATTCCAAATTCAGCAGAATTGAATTGAGGTTTATACAGAGGAAGGTGTGACCTGGATCCACAGTTCTGCGCAGTTCTTGGAGCATTCGATGAAGACCACACATTTCAAACAGCTTCTTATTGCTTCTGCAAAAGATTTTGAATAAAATAATTGTAAATTTAAAATGGAGAGGTTTCATATAAACACTGAAGATGCTACAGAAAATGTATTTTGGATGAAGCAAAATGTGCATTATTTTGAGTATTTAATATAATTCTTCTATGTATGTTTCTAAGCATAAGGTTATCAATGCATGGTGAGAAAAATTTGGCAAAAAATCAACAAAAATTATCAGTTTTCTTGAGTGATACGTAAACATAGTATAATGAAAGCTCAAGAAAAGGGCTTTTCACTCATCTGAAATAAGATTTCAGAGACAAATAAAAAAATTAGGATTTATAAGCCAATTTTACTTTGACTAGTAAATGCCAGTTATAATTTTAGATTATTTTATAGGAAAATTCTTTTTCCTAGAGTTAAATTTTATTCCTTACAAGAAATGAAAACCTCAGTTTTGTCAACAGCTTTAAGTCCAATGTAAAAATTCCTCAGTTTAGATATGCCTTACAATAATGAAACAACCCCACTGAGCACTGTGCCAGTGAAGCTAAGCAGCACATTACTATTGATATGATGACCTTTTTTAAAATAATCCAATAATCAGTAAGCAATGGGAACACATTTTAAAAAGCTGAACATTCCCAAAAGGGCTCAATTGGCTCAAAATCTTAAATTTTTTTAAGGAAATGAAAACTGATGAAGCTTAAATGCAAGTCAAATATAAGACTAAAATTTCAAAGGCGCTTACTACTAAGTATCTGAGTAAAACTGGAAGTCTAGGATTCTCTTCTAAGAATTCTAAGCATTTTTGTCACCTGCAGATGTAAGGAATAATTCCTCTTTAAGTCTACATTGTGAGGCTTTTTTCTAGTTTGTACTCTGCAAATTGAACTAGATTTATGCACTGAGAAGCTTATCTTAAACCTCTATGGCAGAAAGAGTTCAAATTTAACTGCTACAATTACAAGTCCAGCATTGTATATGGTGGAGGGACTAAACAGAAAAACAGAGATGAGTTTTTGGAAAAGAAAAAAGGTCACCAAGTTCATTAACCTAATAATAGCTAACAGAATAATGGTAATAAAGGATTACTTTATTCTGGAGAGTTTTTGCAGTATAACACAGAGCTTTTCCAAAACTGCAATATCTAGCTTAGAACTTCGAAGCAATACAGAGCAAGTCTGGAAGAAGGATTCATTGCTGCAGGCTTCCAGGAAAGGCTGTAAGGAACCTGGAAAAGAAAATGATTTAAAAACTGTATCACAGAGTTCAGTGCAGAGAAAAGTGTAACTGCTATTGATACCTTTAGAAGGCCTTAAATGCTTCATGCTGTGCAATAATTACAACAACCAAATATTTCAGTTTCTGTTGAATATGTGATGCAAAACTCAGGTAAAACTAGAAACTGAAAAAATGCAGCTTCCTAAGAGTTCTGACACTGATCCTTGAATTAAAGCAGTGTCTATTCTCTTGAGAACAGAGGAAAACAGGAAACAGAATCATTTTAAACTCAAATAAAAAATCTTGCATTGAAAATGTTTATGCAATGCTCATTTATCATGATTCTTTCCTTCAGACCATGGGAGGGGAACATTAAGCTGAGCAAAATGACTCAGAAAGAAATATTTTAAAGTGCTGCAGTTCACATGGGTAGGGATAGTACATATAAGAGATTGTGTGAGACCTGAGAGTATTTCATCATCAGCACACTGTCCCTGTACTCAGTTTCAAGAGAGTAAACACAGTAATTAAGAGGTAAAAGTAAGATCTGTACAACAATTAAAAACAAAAACCCCTCCCTTAAAATAGCAGATGAGTTTTTATGTCTCACTGAAAAGCATTTCCCTCTACCCTGTTTCCCAAAATCTAGTAACTTCAATATAAGGTTAAATGTGTTACCTGGTTATTTCAGTTTTGGTTCTCATATTACAGATTAATTTATAGCAAAAACTTAAAGAGAAGAAGTAACAATTTGTTTTTCCTTAAAATTAATAGACTTTCATATACCACACGGCATTTGCATTATGAGAATACACATGTGAAGAAAATATTTTAATTGCATAATGTTAAAATATTTAATGTGTTCCACTTAATAAGAAACTGCAATATGCAAATGACAACACAAACCAACAAACAAAACATTAAAAAAAATTCATAACCTGAATACTGTAATTTATAAATAGGATCTCAAGATGTTTTTATCAGTACAAAGAGGGCTGGATGTACATTTTGGTCAAAATTTTCCCCTTCCTTGTTCAAGGACATACCATTTATTAAATGTAACAAGTAGCCTTGGAGTGAATTCAAGGTTTTAATTTATTTCAGAAGGTTTCCTGATAAAAAAATCTGAAGAGATGCTATGGAAAACTGTTTGAAATAGGGCTTTATAAACAAATCAACTTGATATTTAAGTCAGCCCAAGAGCCTAGATAAGTAATTTTCTGCACTGTGCATTTATGCTGAATATTCAGTAAGAACCCAGTTATTCCTACTCCAACAAATGACTAAGTGGCACCTCTCTGATACACAGGGAACTCTTGAGACTTGTGGGCCTTTGCTGGTTTATACCCTCAAATGAAGACACTGAGAAACAGCAAATGCCTCTATCACAGATCAGAGAAACTACAGCTATACGTAATCTTTCCTCTCTTTTCAGCAGAAGTGATTTTGCTCCTTTGATTTAAAATGCTGGATTCATCAGACGGAATCCACAACATACATAACGGAATGTGTGGATGGACATCATACAGATGGCAGGATAATAACAGAGTTTGGTAGCAAGAGGCCAACCTTGCAGCAATAAAAAGCAACAACTGACGTTCTGTAAAGTTTGGAAAAGGCAGGCAGATGTTTTGTGGTTTGCACAGCTGAAGTATCCTCAGTTCTTTACCCAAAGCAATGCAAAACAACAATTAGTCAAAGACATATACATTATCAAGGCAATAAATCACTATAAATTAATGTGATTTACTGTTTACATCTATTTCTGTGTTTTTTGCATTCTTCCTACCATGTTTAATACACGTATGGTTTTATGCACATTGTCCTCTCTGTTTTAGTACTACTTCCAGTTACAGTTCGCTGTCTTTAAATTGTAACAGTAATAAATATAAAACCAGAATGAAAGTAAAGTAGGAAAGAAAGCAGTAATCAGTGAAAAAAGACAAGATACTATTTCTCATTTTATTTTAGAGAAATATAATATTTCTCTATTAAATATATATAAAATAAATATAATATTTATTTTATTTATGGTCTTCAAGGCATACCACTTTTAATATTTTTTCAGTATTTCTGTACTTTCTCTGCAGAAGGTATTATTTTCCAAAAATTGTCATATAAAAAAACCTCAGGTTTATCTGTCAATTACAGCAAACAAAATCCTTAGATGAGTTCACCACATGTGCTACTTAGTGATACGTGACTGACATACACTCAGTGCTCTTTACTGAGCCACTGCTCTCTGGGCAGAACTCTGGGGTTATTAAGTACATACAGCAGAGTCTTAAACCTGGAAAAAAGTTTAACTAAAATTTCACTTCTGGTATGATGCTGTAATGCCCTAGTGAGTCTAGCTTGTTAAAATCCATGAGAAGAGGTGACAAAACTATGAACAGAAACAGCAAATAAGCAAAGGCCAATGAACACAATCGCCATCTTAAGAGTGCTTCCTGACCAAATATTTCTATCACTGAAGAGTGTTTGAAGTAAAATTACTGTTCAATAGCAGGAAAAGATAACCTTATCTAAAGCAATGAAAATCTACGACTACAAATTATGTAGTCTGTAACTTTATAATAATTCTATGGAGCTACAAATGTATAGAAATTCTTCTAAAATTTGCAACAGTTCCCTCAAATGACTGCCTATTCCCAAGAAAGAGAAATGGTTGGTCCTATCAACCTGCACTGCACTGCTGTTTTAACAAAAATTTGAAACAGTATCTCTTACTTACCAAAGATGCTTTTCAAAAAGAGAAGAAAAGAATAAATACATATATTTATTCTTTTCTTTATGAGAACGTTGACATTCAAGAAACAAACTGAGAAGAAAGGCCTTTCTTCTTTCTATTGCCTATTAAGACAACAAATGGCTTTAAAAAACTCATTTAACATGACTTCTGACTCATCCGACCTCTGATTAATGAGAGATTTGAAGGTAACAAAGACTGCTTGGATGAACAGGGCAATCCTACAATTTATTCCTAAAAATATGCTTAAATAGCCATAAAATGCTTTTAATTCCTTTTCTGCAGGGTTAACAAATACCATATTTAGCTGACCTGAATATTTCTTTGCTGCCCTGCCCTTACTGGTCCCTTAAATATATTACATTAAAAAAAAAAATACACACACACACACACACACACACACACATATATGCTGTAAGAATGTTCTGACTTTGAATTTTACAAATTAACGTAAAAGACAACATTACTTTTAAGACAGAAGATTTCTCCTATAAAACAGAAAAGCTAATATGATATTAATGTCTAAATATTTGCAAAGTTAATCACGTGAAACCCAACTGAAAAAAGTACATGTTTAAATGGACTTTCTGAACACTGTTTATATATTCAATTCAGATAACCTTTTGAAGATTATATTCTAAGTAATCAGAATATGAACAAAATAAATACGTAATTTAAATGCATCTCTAGCTGATTAACTAAAAATAATAAGCTTCACATTTTTAAATATTTTGGTGCCTTAGATTCTGCATAGATTTTGCTTTTAACTATTTTAGAAAAATATAATTGGAATTTATCCTGACAGGACTTTGTCACAATTTAAAATAATCTGCAAAAGCCTCCAGTGGTATCCTTAAAACATTAGAGCGTGCTGTAGTTGCATTAACTTGGCCTGATTGGTAGACCGCAACGAACAATAAGCAATTTATCACTGTTGACAGGATTCATATGAAATTTACCCTCAAAGTAATCAGTCACACAGCATAAAATCTCACCAGCTATAGTTACCCAGAAAATTCTGTATCATACCTAAAGCTATGTCACTTCAGGAAATAAAATGACAACTCTAAGTTCATGTTTCAACAAATTACCGATTACAGTTTTGTCTCATTTTCTAATTGCGAGAGGATCTGATGGGAGAAAAGAGAATGCATCTCAGCAATGCAAGTGAGTGATGCAGCAGGGTCTCCCCACCAAGAGTATCACCACCCTTTACTGGCTGTGAGGTGGAAACATAGCAAAGGATGAGGAAAAGACTACCCAATGCCTTCACTGCCTCAGTCTTTAATAACAAGTCCAGTTGTTTGCCTGGTACCCAGCCTCCTGAGCTGGAAGGCAGGGACAGGGAGCAGAAGGAGGCGCCCATAATCCAAGGGGAAATGGTCCGTGACCTGATGCACCACTCACACACACAGACAAGCCTCTGGGACCAGATGGGATCCACCACAAGGTATTGAGGAAGTCAGTGGGAAATGCTCACCAAGCCACATTCCAACATTTACCAGCAGTTCTGGTTCATGGGGAAAGGCCTGGGTACCTGGAGCCTGGCAATTGTGACACTCATCTACCAGAGGGGCCAGAAGGACAGTTCAGAGGCCTGTCAGCCCAACCTTGGTGCCAGGGAAGGTCATGGAGCAGCTCATTCTGAGTGTCACCACATGGCATGTGCAGGGATCAGGCCCAACCAGCACACACATGGATTTATGAAAGGCAGGTCCTGCTTGACCAACCTCATCTCCATCCACAGCCAAGTAACCTGCTTGGTGGATGAGGAAAAGACCGTGGATATGGTTTACCTGGACTTCACTAAAACCCTGTTTGTCACAGCATTCTTCTGAAAAAAACTAGCTGCTCAATGTGTGGAAGAGGGCACTATTTGGGGGGTAAAAATACAAGTACAAAACCCCCAGACTGGTAAAAAACAAGTCAGGAAGCAACACTTTGCAAAGAGAGAACAGTCAATGCAATGTATTTCTTGGATTTGGACCAAAAATGGAAAACTGAATATATGTGCCTTTCAGGAACTAAAGCTGAGAAATAAAAAATAAAATAAAATAAAATAGGTTTTTCTGTAAGTATGTGTATAAGAACTCCAGTTGTTGAGAAAGAATAGTCAGGTATTTTTGTCTGGTAAATAAATGCTACAGCAGTTATAACTAATCTAAATGTCAATACCATTTGAGAAAGCAACACGTGATATTATATTGCAGAAAATGGGGGTTAGTAGAATGGCTGGAAGGTGTGTAAGGAATTCACTAAAA